ACCTTCTAAGTGGTTTGAGATGACGCTGTTTTGGTAAACAGCATTCAAAATCTTTGCTTTTTTAACTGACAACAATGACTACTGACATGCTGTAGGAAAATACACAGTTACTTCAGTCACAAAATAGATCTGTATTTATCTTAGAATGGTCAAATGAGAGTAGAGTGATTGTGCTATGGACAGATTCATGGATATTTGCGTGAAAGTAAATAAAACAGATTAGCCCGGACTTTGTATTCTGTTCTCCTGTGCCAATATCCATTATGTTGAAAGCATCATTGAAAAGCAAAACCTTAAGGAGCAATATTCTCTGCTGTTATCTCACTTTTATTTACTTATACATCATGCATATGTTAATTAAAGACACCATTTTTATAAATACTTTCATGATAACTGTTCAGATGAGCTGTTTTGCTATGGTATGAATTTAAGTGCAATACTAGACTGGCAGTGAGATCTCATCAATTTACAGTTGAGCTAGATAAATGTTTCTTTTCTCACATTTCTAACTTGTAAAACTCCTTTCTGACTCCATGCTTTCTCACCAACTTTTATCTGCAAGAGTTAAAATGCAATGTCAATCACTATCTACTGTCCTCCTGCTTGCTCTTTTCACTTTCTACTCATTAATAATGTTTCTGTTCCTAGTTCCTCCACACCCTGTAACCCTTTACATGTTAATGTTCGTATTGCCTTGCTTGGGGTGAGACCGATAAAAAAAAAAAAAAAAAAAATAGATACAATTGTTTCTTCATATATCAAGGCAAGGTTCTATTGATTTCCATAGGTAATCTAAGATAATGTATCAATAAACAAACAACCAATGTATTCTGAATTTGAATACTTTTTTCCTCAATTGTTTTTATAAGTAAGAATTTTCAAAGAGCTTTTTTTTTTTTTTCATATTCAATAAGATGATAAAATTATTTTTAAATAACACATTTAGTTTTGGATAATTTCTACTGTAAAATGACTATTTACATGTAATTGACTTTAGTGCAACTTCATTTGACTAACTATGGAAGCACATTAGAGTAACACATATATATATATATATATATATATATATATATATATATAGTTTTATTTACAGCAATAGAACTGTTCTTGGTGTTATTTTTTTTTTTACTTTGACTTGTAGAGCTTTTTCATTTCTCTTTTAATTTAACTTTTAATTTTTTTTGGGGGGTTAACAAAAACAACCTTGATGCATAAATACAACACACAACACTATGATAAAAATTTTTAAAAAAGTGCCAAGAATGAAGATTATACTAAAATAAAACACAAGTCTTTTTATACCACAATTTCTACCAGCAGATATATAGACAGCATTCAGTATCCAAGGTAGCAGTAACTTCAATCATATATTTTAATCCTTTTTATTTTGTATGTAAAATTGAATTTTACATACAAAATAAAAAGGATTAAAATATAAGATTGTTAATCGAAATAAGAGCCCAAATTAGAGATAACAAAATCAAGCAAGTACAAAAATTTAAATATCTTGGAAGGTAGTCATTTTACAGTAAAAATTATCCAAAACTAAATGTGTTATTTAAAAATAATTTTATCTTATTGAATATGAAAAAAAAAATGCAACACTGAAATCTGAAGACACATTAGAATACTGAAAGATGCATTCCAAAAGCTATTGGTATTCTCAGCATCCTTCTGTATAACCATATTTCTGTTGCTTCAAGTTTCTTCTTCATTTGTGACAAGACTGTCTAGCATACACTGCCATATAGGAGGACTGATATTGCATAATAGTTCAGTACTCTTTTCTTTTGCTTCTAATGAAATTTTCCATGTTTCATAATACTTTCCTTAACTTTTGGAAAGCATCTTTTACTATTGAAATGCATCTTCTGATTTCATGATTTCAGTGTCGTATTTTCTGTACTCTGTTAAAACACTTCCCAGATATTTAAATTTTTCTACCTGTTTGAATTTGGCATCTCCAATTTGTAATTTTGCTCCTTTTGCTGACAAATGTGACATTGGAATATGGTAAGAATAGACAGTATTTGTAGTTAAAAACAATGTTTTTCATGACCAATCAATTATAGAAGCAAGCCAAGGTTAAAAAAAATGTCCACCTTTTCAAAATTAACATTATCTTGCATCTTTCTTATCAAATTGTGAAATGAAAGTTATCCTGAACAGTCACTCTTTTAGATCCTTTCGTACTAATGAAGACATCCCTTAGGGTTCTACTCTTAGTCCTACTTTGTTTTTAATTTTCATTAATGACCTTTCCAATGTCATCAGTTCTCAACTTGGTATTTATGTTGATGATACAACTATTTATTCCTGTCTCGATAGTAAGTCTGATCCGTTTGATATGGTCAAATTGGTGACTTATGTCAAAAACAGTCTTCAGTTTGTTGCTAACTGGAGCAAAAGGTAGCTTGTTAATTTTAACACCTCCAAAACTAAACTGCTCTCTATTAATCATCTGAGACAACCTTTCTGCCTTTTCAGCATGGCTGATACTAACCTCAAGGAGAGGGGCTTGTTGCGCTTTCTCGGGCTAACATTCTCGGCTGGCATGAAGTGGAAAGACTATATTGAATCCCTTGCTAAGAAGGTTGGTTCACTGTGTCATATGAGGCAGATTCTGGAGAGAAAAATTATCTTACTTATATTTATAAGTCTACCATTCACCCATGCCTTAAATATTGCTATCACATGGTCCGGAACTCCTACTATATATTTAGAGATTCTTGATAAAATCCAAAGAAGAATCAGCAATATTATTGGTCCGAATCTGACATCTTGGCTTAATCCACTTTCCCACCACCATAAAGTTGCCTCCCTTTTCCTTTTCTATGACTACTTTCATGGTAATTGTTCAGATGAACTCTTTGCTATGGTACCTAGACTTTATGAATTTAATCACAGTGCTAAACAGGCAACAAGATCTCATCAATTTACTGTTGACTTAGCTACATGTAAAGTTTTAGGCTAACAGTTTCTTTTCTTGCTTGTGGAACTCTCTTCCAGCTCCATGCATTCCAGCCAACTTTAATCTTCAAAAATTTAAATGCAATGTCAATCACTATCTACTGTCCTGATTATTCTTTTTTTGTTCTCACTCCTTAGTAATGTTTCTGTTCTGTGTGCCTTAGTGGCTTTACTGCCTTGCTAGGGGGGAACTCGGTAAAAAAAAAATAAAAAATAGCAAGACTATGCTAACAACAGCCAATATTTATGGCTAGGAGCAATATCTTTGTTTTTCATTCATGGTCAATCAATGAGAAAAAAAACCATCAGGAATAAAAGAAAATATTCCAAAAGTAAAATTGTCTTGCATCAAGGTTTTAATGTTAAACCTTTAACAAATGTGGAATATGTTAACAAACAATAATTATAGCTTGAAACAACATCTTGTTTCTTTTATTGTCATTCAATGTGGGAAGAAAAGCAAAAACAAAAGAGAGGCAACATTTTTAAAATTAATATTATCTTGTATGAAGTTTTTAATACTAAATCTTTAACAAGTTTGGAATATGCTAACAGCAGCCAGTATTTATAGTGCCCAACAAAGTTTTGTTTCTTTCATGGCCAGTCAATAGAAGGAGAAATCAAGGTAAAAAAGGAGGCCACCTTTTTCAGAAAGAACAATGTCTGAGATTTTTTTTTAATTAAAATTTTACACTCTACAATCACTTTAGTTATTTTGTACATGAATAAGCAACATATTTCTGGAGTTAGGGGAAAAAAATTTAGTAATTTTCCCATTCCATAAGGGAGCCACAGAACTGCAATGATAGGAATCTCCTCACCTATGTGCTGTGTCTCTCCAGGACATAGGCAATCATGGCTCTCCATAACTTCCTATCCTTTGTAACTTGAAGCAGTGTTTGTATTACTGTCTCTCCCATTGCCTGTTCTGCCATCTTTTTACAAAAACTCAATAGGTAGGTTACTTGCTGTTACCTTCTACTTCTCTTGGGCTTGTGAGTATCAGATTCTCTAAGCCCTCTTTCTTATGTACGCTAGAAATTTAAACTCTCTGTTTCTGATTCTAACTAGAAGTGACCTTTTTGCTTCCATTTTCCTTAAAACTTCCTTGTTGCTTATATGCTCTGTCCATAGTATTCTCGGCATCCTTATGAATAACCATATTTCTGTTGCTTCAAATCTCATCTTCATCTGTGTGGAGATTGTCCAGTATTCATTGCCATATAAGAGGACTGATATTACTTAGCAATTTAGTCGGGTTAAATACAATATTTGATTTAAAATTTTGATTTAGAAACAGTTCTTAATCTGTATATTTTGTATTGAAATCAGGAGAAAAATAGATTCAGTGATCAGAAATTAAAGCAATTAGTACTGACAAAGACTGAGATATATATATATATATATATATATATATATAGTTTTAAGGGATGCTATATTTATAGGTAAAAGTGCTCACTATAAAAGTGAACACAAGATCAACACAGAGTGGCGATAGACAGTTTAATGCTTGACTGCAATCTTCAGGCCATGGGTACCAAGACTGGGTATAAAGCTACAAATAACTGCCTTCAGGTTCACAATTATTTCTACTCGATAGCCTTTAGGATGATTTGAAATATAACCATTAATATATAACCAATATCTGTTAGGATAATACAATAAACCAGAATTACATGACCAATTTATTTTATATCTTATGTTGTTATTTTTTTTTTAATTTAATGTAAATTATTTAATTATTTCATTTGTTTGTTTTTTTTATTGATTGATTTTTCTTTAGCTTATCCACCTTTTGCAGGTTATTTAGAGCCAGAAAATTTTTTTTTTTTTTTTTTTTTGAGACAATAATGTTTTCCTGATACGAGTCTTACTAATTAACCCATAGCTTGGGGGAGAAGAAATGGATCCATACATTTCCCAAGGATATTTGCACTTAAGTGAACATAACAAACCCAACATGCATTGGATCTTTTCTCTCTGATTAACAATTCCAAGCCATTATCCATTATACTACCTGGACATCCAAGCTTACAGCACCTGGTATTCCCAAGCGGTCACCCATCTGAGTATTGACCAGGCTTGACATTGCTTAACTTTGGTGATCATACAGGAATTAGTGTTTCAACGTCATATGGACATAAGCCTTATTTTATATGTATGTGGAACCCAAAAGATCTACTGTTAAATTTACCATGCCAATGCCTCAAGAAGAAAAAGATTGTCTGTGGTCAGGAATTAAAGCAATCAGAATTGAGCTATTATAGGTTTACTTTAAAAGCATTGGTAATGATTTTGCATTACAAATGTATTTAAAATTGGAAAGAAAAGTATTCAGTTGTAAAAAATGAATCTAATTAAATAAAATATTACTGACAAAATAGATCTTTTATATGTATATTGTAAATGTGTTGCTAACGGTTTTACTATACAAATGCATTAGAACTAATGTTAATATAGAAGTGCATTGTAAATGATTTTACTATAGAAATAATTTATAATTGATTTTTGCTTAAAATACATTGAAAATAAAGAAAAGATTGCCAATGGAAAATCATGCCAGCATTACCAACAGAATAAAGCTGTGATGAAGTAAGTTGGAATATTATCAATACAGTATCAATGAAATTTAATTTAAAATAATATAATTCACTTTATTTTTCCAGTTATTGAAATACACACACACACACACACACACATATATATATAAAAAATGAATAAACAAACAAACAAATAAATATATATATATATATATATATATATATATAATGAATAAATAAATATATATATATATATATATATATATATATATATATAAAAATAAAATGAATAAGCAAATATATATATATATATATATATATATATATATATATATATATATATATATATATATATATAAATAAAATGAATAAGCAAATATATATATATATATATATATATAAATAAATAAATAAAATATATAATATATATATATATATATATATATATATATATATATAAATAAAATGAATAAACAAATATATATATATATATATATAAATAAAATGAATAAACAAATAAATCTAAAATTACCTCATATGGGGATGATATCATTATCTGCTGAAATAGGCTATTCCCTATATGAGGTAATTTTGGATTTATTTGTTTATTAATTATATTGCTCTGTATTAATAAATACATTGAGTTTATTTCGTGGATCAGTTTTAATATTTTATATTATGAGGATCCACTTGGATTATATACTAACGGATTTTTTACCTTTACTATATATATATATATATATATATATATATATATATATATATATATCTTTCACATCCAATAAATACTCATAATCCATTTCAGAAGTGGTTTATAGAATACAGTAACATCATTATTATTATTCTTTTATGTACATTGTATCTTTAGGACATAGGCGATCATAGCTCACCACGATTTCCTTTTTAACTCTTTACCCTCCCTCTTTGCCTCCCTCTCAAACTTCAGTTCATACAAACTTGTTAGTTGGTACTCTTTATTTCCCTCTTCCCCTCTTATGTCTTGTGAATGTTAAATTTTCCATGTCCTCTTTCCTCATAATGTGTTCCTGAAATTTCAACTTTGTGATTTTAAGTATAAGTGTCTTAGTTCACATTTTTTTAGAAACTCTTTTGTTATTAGCATGTTGAGTCCATGGTATTCTTCTATTATAGATATTTATTATGCTGAAGCATATCTGGGAAAAAGGCTGCAATAAAACTTGACCTCATAGGTAATGTTTCTGAAACTAGCTTGTTAACAATTCCAGCTGACATGAAGTGGAAAGACTACATTGAATCTATAGGTCAGCTGGCATGAAAGTTGGTTCACTGTGTCCAACTAGACAATTTTTCTCTCCTGAATCTATCTTATATATCTATAAGTCTACCATTCATCCATCTCTTGAATATTGCTACTACATAGGGTCTGGTGCTCCTTCGATATATTTAGAAATTCTTCATAAAATCAGCAATGTTATTGGTCCTGACCTGGCATCTCAGCTTGAGTCACTTTTCCACCACTGTAAAGTTGCTTCCCTTTGCCTTTTCTATAAATACTTTCATGGTAATTGTTCAGATGAGCTCTTTGCTATGATACCTAGACTTTATAAATTTAAGCACATTACTCAATTAGCAAAAAGGTTTCATCAGTTTACAGTAGTATTGGCTAGATATAATTGTAAGTTCTATGCTAACAGTTTCTTTTATTGCACTTCTCATTTGTGGAATTCACTTCCAGCTTCTTACTTTCCAGTCAAATTTGATCGTGAAAAATTTAAATGCAATGTCAATCATTGTCTACTGTCTTTCTGATTACTCTTCTATTGTTCTTGCTTCTCAATAATGCTTGTGTTTTCTAATTCTTCCATACCCAATAATCCTTTGTGTCTTAGTGGCTTTACTCCCTTGCATCGGGTGAATTTCACTAAAAAAAAAAAAATAACTAAGAAGCACTTTCTAAGTATAATTTGTAATTTGGTGTAGTATTTCACCATAGATCATGTCAGAATAGACTTTGCATTCCATATCATACCAAGCCATCAAAAGAGCCAAATGCGAATTTGACTTGTAGTGACCTTCTTGTGGCTAAGTTCAGATTCACATGATCACATAGCTGCATCTAGCATTTTTTAACTATTGTTCACCCAGTACAAGGCCCAAAGGTCCTCAAAGTAGAGGTTTACAAAATGAGGTTGTTGTAATGGTGTATAGGGAGGGAGCAAGAGGTGCATATCATGAAGATATGTAGGATATATAACATTTGATCTTTGAGCTGAATCTACAACTTTGTAAAAGTTGTAGATTTTTGGTGCCACCAGTTGATCCTATAACAAATATTATCACTGAATATTAAAATACAGTGTTACCCAATTGCAAACAATTTCCAGACTATAAGTATTGTGGTCACATTTGAGCACTTCCTGTCTTAAAAGCTTGAAACTTTGGATTCTGTTGGATAGCTATTAATACCACAGAATGTGTAGGCTGGCATAGAGTAGCAATTTACTAGTCAGAAGACACTATGGGCATCCGCCACTGACAGTGACGGATGGCCTTTGTTTAAATTTTTGATACAAGACCAAAAAAGCATGAAGACTCAGAGATGTCTGCAAGAATTTGAAGGGTCAATATACTTCTCAAACCCATATTCTTTACCCAGCATGTGGTGATGAAATTCTAACCAAGCAGTTGACCTATGTCCCTTGATCATCTCCCTCTTTCTTCCTCCTAGAAACAATGATACAACTACCTCTTTTATTATAAAGCGAGATTAAAAGAAAATTATCTCTCATTGAGGCAGTCTATGATGTAGCGTTGAGGTCTGAAGAATTGAATCCAGAGATGGCACAAAACAACATTAGGCAAATACTACTATTTTACTTGCTGTCTGTGTAAAAATCTTTCATTCAAACAATGATGTCATATGTTTTTTGTTGAATGATTGGCTATTGTAAAATAAATAACAATGCAATATATCCATTTGAAAAAATTCTTATTGATGAAATTTTGTTAAATTTTATCTTTCTTTATTTAAAAAAAATCACTGACCACATCTTTGACTCCATTATTTGTTTTGTTTTTTTTTATTTTGAGGTGAGTAAAGTTTATTCCATTGGCTATAAAAAAAAAAAAAAGGTGCTTAGGAGGTTGTTGGCACCAACGCCAACTCTCTGAGTCTGTGTCTATGCCAAAATATATTTATATCGTTCATGTACACCACTCTACAACCTTGAAAGTGTAGATGAGTGAGTCAGTGTATTTCAGTGCGATACCAGAAAAAGAGGGTTTACTAACCAGGATATAAAGACAATAGCCAGTGCATTTTTTTTTGTGTGTTGTCGTGGGTGTGTGGATATACGTCTTTTTACAATGTTTCCATTTTCTTTCCATTCATATGAATGGAGCAATGTGTAAGTGCTATCAGTTCTTTTTTTCTCACCTTGTGACCTCTATAAATTTCACGTCAAGTGTGCACTTGGCAACATTCGGAAGTCACCTGTCATTCTGTAAATGGGATTTTTAGCTTGGGAATTTCATATAGATATTGATAGGCAAGGTATATTTAGACAGCAAGAATTCATTTAAACAAGTTTTAGTATGTTCAAATCACAAGGTCTGTCTTTAATTTTGTTATTGTATTTTTCTAATTTTCAAATTCTGATACCAATGTGTAACATTTTATATGAAAACCTGGAAAAAAAATATTTTGCAGATCACATAATCCAAAATGGCTGTCACCAAGTGGTTATCTCAGCATCCATGAAAGACAAAGAGAAAATTATTATACATGGTTAAGAAAAAGTGATGCATAATTTTTTATTATGACAAACAGAAAAAAGCATTTTATGATTAAATTTTGCTCTTGTCAAAATATCCTCCTTTAGTCTTGATTACTGCAGCACAAATTTTTGGCATTTGTTTTTTTTTCACTCTTCTGTCAAGTTCATTCCATGCTAATTCTGGAGTTGGCTTCAATCTTTTGTAGCATATATATATATATATCTTATGTTAAATTTGATTGACAAGGAAAATTTTATTAATTTTTTTATTTAGTTTTTTCCGTTTGGTGTAAAATGTAAGAATGCTGGAAAAACAAAATAAGAAATTAATAAAAATTTCCTTGTCTGTCATATTTAACAAAAGATGTTTAAAAGAAATGCCCCTGCCTAAATATATATATATATATATATATATATATATATATATATTATTTCACCTCCACTGGACAGATCATGTGTCCAGAATGCATCCCACTTGAAGCCCATGTATCATCCTGTTTGGAAAACTCACCAGTGACAAGAGGCTATGCAGAGGTCCAAAATGATGCTTCAAGGATCAGTTGAAGACATTTCATACTTGGCATAGGCCAACATCAATCCTGATACCTGGGAAACCATTGCTGCAAATCAGCCTTCCTGGTGTAGAACCATTCAAGCGAGGCTGAGACTTTAGAGTCAAACTGTCAACATGAAGAAGATCTGTGAGATTCTGTCAGGAGAGCATGAGGAGGCTGGGCCTTCACAGCTATCTCCACTCCAGAGGGAAGAAAGAGAATAAGGAGAGAAGGTGACAATCCCAATGCTCGGATGTGAGCAGGTTCCGATTATTATTATAATATATAT